GATGAATAATTACTGTTCAATAAGTTTGAATACGGACTTAGAAATCATATAACTTGGTTTCATAGTGCGGTAAGAAGTTGCAGTTGCCTGACGGCCCCTCTCTTGGGGCCCCTTTGGAAACCGTTTCATCTTGCTCGCACCACTTGTGTTTACTGCCTAGTCAGGTGACGTTATCGGCGCTATTTTTAGCAGGGCTTTCCCGAACAATTCAAGTGGTCAAACTGGACATTTGGAACGGACTATGAATATGGGGATAGCGAGGTAACATAAGTGGAAGTGCATACAATACATACATTCATTAAAAAAAAACGCCTTTTCACGTGATGTCCCTTTAAGGTCACAGGGGTCAAATATGTCATAACTTTCAAACGACTTCTTCTGAAATATAACTCAAACGCCTTGTGACATCATATTTGGCTGGTGGCTTCCTTGGAATTAGCCAAACAAAGTAATAAAAATGATATTGACCGACTTTCAAGGTCACAGGGGTAAAATGTCGTAAAATCTTCAAACGACTTCTTCTCAATAACCAAAAGCCCAGGGTACTGATATTGGGCCTGTAGCATGCTGGGATGAAGGGCTACTAAGTTCGTCTAATGAATGACCTTGACCCACTTTCAACCTAATGTCCTTGTTCACATTTAAGGTCACAGGCGTCATATGTTTAAATCTTTTAATAGTTTCTTATGAACCAAACACTGATATTCTGCCTGTAGCTGTATTTTAGTCCACTTTCAAGATTACAAGTGTGAGATTAATACCAGGTGAGCGATGCAGGCCCATTGGGCATCTTGTTTTTATAATTAGGGTGCTAGAACATCTTAAAACAGGAATATTTTTGATATGACGTATTTGGTCATTGTCGTTGTTCATACCGATGTTTCAATACAATAAATCTTGGAAGATTTTCAATGTTGCAACGATAGCCATGTAAGACCAGCACAGATAAGAACAGGCAATGAGATCACTACTAGATCGATTATAAAATATGAATCATCGGGAAGTGATAAGAGGGGCAACAATTTCAAAAGGGTGATTTCAGCTAAAGCTGTTATAGAAACATATCCGGAGACTTTACTTCGAGATGATAGTGACTGATATTTTTGCTGTGGCTAATAATTAAAAAAAAACACATTTGATGTGACCAATAATTTATAAGAACTACATTTGCCTAGCTCCAGTGTCATAAGTATTCACACTTACGCATCTTAGTGTCTGTTTTCTTCAGGGGAAAAAAGACAGGCCGCGGTGGCCAAGTGGTAAGGCATCTGACACTCTGCTACCACTAGCCCTCCACCACTGAGTCGTGGGTTTGAGGCCTATGTTGGGCAGTCGCCAGGTACTGGGTGTAGGTCGGTGTTTTTGGGGAACTCTGGCTATCCTCCACCACCAAAACCTGGCACGTCCTTAAATGACCATAGCTGTTAATAGGACATAAAACACACACAAACCAAAGAAAAATCTTCACAGACGAACACTTTTGTAATATTGAAACATCTATTGTAACTCGTCTATTTGAAAAATAACCACGTTTGTGTAGTCCTGTCTGCATTGGTTAAGGTTTAGGTGTAAGTTTTAAAATTCATAAAGGTTACATGAAATAGTTTAACTAGGATACTGATACATGCTAACTATTAAAAGGTTAAGGCATTTATAGGGAGTGTAGGGCGCGTCTAATTACCCAATACTACCCAATACCACCCAATACTACCCCATACGACCCAGTTATGAACCAAATACTTCTTTATTACTGTGAAATAACACCTTTGTAGACGTTATTTACTTCCATCTGCCATATTTTATCGGGAAATATGCGATTTTGTGCCGAAAACATCACCGAATTGCCGTGACTATGACCCAATACATGCCCATACCACCCAATACTACCCCATACGATCCAGTTATGAACCCAATACTTCTTTATTACTGTGAAATATCGCATTTCTTGAAGTTATTTACTTCTATATGTCACATCCTATCTGGACATATGCGATTTGGTGCAGAAAACATCACCGAAATGCCGTGACTAGGGGTTCGACGATTTACAGGAACGGGCAGGATCGGGCAGAAAACTATTAATTATTATATATACATTGATGAATATATATATTTAATTAGATACATTTAAGTATCATTATCGGGTATAAGATATATTTGATAAAAGAATTGCAATTACATGATACTATATTAATTCTATTCATGTCATAAAATGGTGTTATTAAGATCATATATATAAATTTAGCAGGAAATATTTAGAAAATTTTAAATTACTTTTCATAAATGTTAGTTATTCAATTTTGTTAAACATAACAGTATCAATTATATAACAATGCTGGAGAAGAACCTTCAGTTAAATTAGATACTCAAATACTACGAAATTCAAAAAGTATATGGATTGTATATGATTCGAAGTCCTTTCAATTACTTGATTAACTCACAGATAGTCTGTTTTGGACAAGCTAGATATTTTTTCCATATATAGTTCCCTGACCAATCTTATGAAGGGTAGACGAGTAGGTTGTCATTAAGTAATGTAAAAATTAAATAGATTAATAAAAGGAATTACGTTACGCTTCTTATACATCAATCCAGAGACGTATATATTACATTACGTAATATATACGTCTTTGATCATCCGAAAGCAAAATACTAAATGACATGAAAACTTGATTCGACTCCCAGAGATACTGTATACACATATACTTTATTCAACTCGTTGGCCATCTCAAGTAAATGTGATCTCTATAGATACATGGTAGATACCGTGATGTTGCAATTTTATTTAACAAAGTTTATACCAAAACAACGTCGAATTATGATTACCAAATTACGTATGTCAGCTCACAATCTTGCAATAGAAACGGGAAGTTACAGGAATGTTGCAAGGAATAATAGATATTGCAGTAACTGTGACCTAATAGAGATAGAAGATGAATTTCATTTTCTATTTACCTGCCCACGTCATCTAGATCTAAGGAGAAAATATATTAAAAATTAGTACCGGCAAAAACCTTCTGTATTCAAACTTATCGAATTAATAAATACACACAATGTAAAAGAACTGAATTTGTTAGGTAAATTTATTATTGAAGCTAACAAACGAAAGATTGTTTAACATATAAGTTTG